CCTCTGAGGGACCCGGGGAGGGAAGTGAAAGTGTCCGAACACCACGCGCAACAAACTCCTCTGATCCCGTCGACCTCGCTTTAAAAAGCAAACGCCGAAAGCGCGGAAACCTGTTGGCACCCATGACCCCCAGGGCGCCCCGCTTCCTGGTAAAAAGCGCGGGCTCCTGGCTGTTTTACCNGTTCCTGCCGCTCGCGGGCTGCCGCAGACGGCGCGCTCCGCGGCGTCAGTGCTTTCTTCTTCATGACGGGTGTCAGTTTACGACGTGAACGGTACTTAGCTAATCTCCAACTTGATTTAATTCCATAAAATCAGATGGTTTGTGATTTTGTAAAGAAAATATTTGTGAAAGTTCGAGATGTTAAGTGCCGGTGGCCCGAAGTTCCAAGGCACAGGGCGTGGGGGCCGGGCGGCTGCCCCACTGCACAGCTCGCCGCCCGGGTTTCTTCCATAGTAGGTCAGATGTGAGAAAGCTGCTGTTGCGCACCTGCAGGTTTTGTGTGTGTGTGTGTGTGTATTTTAATATATCTTTATTGATTTCAGAGAGAGGAAAGGAGAGGGAGAGGGAGACAGAAACGTCAATGATGAGAGTCATCGATCGAGCCCGCAACCCGGGCATGTGCCCTGACCGGGAATGAGCCCGATGGCCTGGATCCCAGGTCCGTGCTCCGCCGCTGAGCCAGGCCAGCCCTAGCCAGTTTCTGGCCAAGGGCACCTGCGGGGTTGCAGGCTGATCCCCAGCCCCTCCCGGCACATGCGGGGAGGCAGCCAATCCTGGCGTCTCTCCCCCGGCCGTCTCTCTGAAAAGCAATGGAAAAAATCCTGTGAGGATTAAAAAAAACAAAAGAGAAGATCCACCTATTTTAACATTTAGGGGTTTTTGTTTGTCTTTTCTGATTTTCTACTGACCGCTCTGAAATGGCAGATTCAGGCACTTTGTAGAGGGACCGTGCAGTTCTACGTATTAATAGATTACTTTGCGTTCCTTGAGGTCAGAGACCATGACTTACCCAACGCTGGGCTCCCGGACAACCTGCCCCATTGCCAGCGAGTACAAACCAGGTCCATGCTGATCC